GGGGGGGGCAGTTTGGGGTGCATCACCCCACGGCACCCCCCTCCCTCCCTGCCCCTTACCTGTTCACCTGTGCTGCCAGACACCCCCTCCCTGCACCGTCACCTGCGGGGAGAGAGGGGACATGCTGGGCGGGGGGGGACACACAGAGCCACTGTCCTTCACATCCCCGGGACCCCCCAGCATGGCCTCACCTGCTGCCAGCGTCCCCTCAGGGTCTGTGTCACTCGGGGCAGGGGGCACAGATGCCACATGCCCTGCAGAGGGGTGGGGACAGGACAGGCAGCGTTAGGGGGACATAGGGCTGAGGGACCCCTGAGCCACACAGAGCTGAGGAGCCCCGAGCTGCACCAAGCCCCCCCAGGGTGGCACTTACGGGACGAGTGTCTCTTGACCGTGCCCTGCAAGACATTGGGGACAGGGGGTCAAGGTGGCCATGGAAGGGTCCCTGGGGACCCCACAGTGCCACCCCCCATCTCCCCCCTAAGCTCACCCCGATGCTGGGGGGCAGGATGAGGTTTCCCACGGTGGCCTTGAGCTGCTCCACGGTGGCCTCGGTGCTGCCCCCTGCTTCCCGGGGCTGCACCGGTTTGATGTGGACGTAAAACTTGCGGGGCTCATCCTCGTCGTAGTCGGAGTCGCTGGAGGAGCAGCCGGGGGGTCCTGCCTCCACTTGGGGGCCCCCACGGCCCCTTGTTCTGACACCCCCCGGCTGGGACACCCCCAAAAATCCCCCCCACCCATCCCCAGCACAAGGATACTGTGGGCGACGTCGGGGCGCACAGTGAACCCGTCCTCATCCACCTCCGGGCAGCCCTGCAGGGAGATGCTCAGGGAGGGACTGGCTCCCCAGCCCTCCCAGGATGGGAAAGAAACCAACCCCCAGGGCTGGCCCCGGGATACTCACCAGCTCAGCATCCGGGGATTCCCTGGGAATGACAGGGGCTGGGGTAGACCCTGAAATGGGGAAGGGATGTGGGGACAGGGGGGAGCGGGGGTGGGGGACATGGAGA